GAGAGAGAGAGAGAGAGAGAGAGAGATCTCCCGTTTCACTGAAATTTAAAGCTGATTAGTTAATTTGGATATTATGCGCTCTCAGTGTACAGGGGGTAAATAATGTAGCAGATATGAAACGCGGTTGAACGCGTACGACTATGACCACCACCACCACCACTACCACCATCACATGAGCAACCGCTTTTTGCTAGAGAATCGTTAATATATACGCTTATCCGTGTCTGCTGGGATTATTCGCTCGGTACACTCACGCCAACTGGAAAAGGATACAAAAGAATAATGCAAATTAGTCGCATTTACTACCCCTCCTACCCCTTTCATTTCATCTCGCACTTTCTCGCAGCTCGCTTTTTCTTTCCTTTTTTTTTTCTTTTTTGTTAGAAGAATCATCGTTAATATTGGGTATACGTTAACCTGTAGCAAAAAGAAAAAGAAAAAAAACCTCTTGACCATACGTGACGCGCGTATCTCGAATTATACGCAAGGAAATATTTATCTAATGCATCTTATATTATATTTATCTAACATATATTTCTTTCTATATAATTCTTTTGTTGCGAGTTCAATTCCGGGAGAAAAATAATTCACCCGGTTGGCTTCTATCGTCGGATATGTTTATAAATAAGGGGTGAAAAGTGTTTGAAGAGAAACACGAAACTAAAAAAGAAAAAAAAAGAAACGAAAAGAAAAGGAAAGAAAAGAAAAGAAAAGAAACGTAAAGAAAAGAAAAGAAAAGTTCGTGAAAGGAGAAAAATCTAACTTTACTTCTTTGCTTCTTGCGCGTGCACGCAAGCGAAGAAAATTGTTTCTATCGACTACGCGAAACTCGCCACCGTCGTTGTCGACGTACTCCTCCTCGTACGACTACGTTGTTCGTGCCGTTGCACTCGACGTCACTACACGGCCAAGTTTACCGTAGCTGTGTTTCTCTTTCCATTTATTTCGTATTGATAGAAGTCGCTCGGAAGAGGAACAAGAAGAGCAAGTAGAACAAGAAGAGAAAGAAGAAAAGTAGAAATAGAAGTAGAAGTAGAGAAGATGGGAACGAGAAAATAAGAGAAAGAGAGAGAAAGAAAGAGAAAGAGAGAAAGAGAGAAAGAGAGAGAGAGAGAGAGAGAAACACTTGTGTCTTCATGGGAGACGAATAATTTGAGATTCATCGAGATGCAGCGGGGCGAGCCACTTGTAATTCTTTTCCAACGACAGCCGCCTTCCCGTTCCACTCCTTGCACTTTTCTCATCCTCCTCAACCCCCCTCCTCACCCCTTACTCCCGTCATTCTCTTCCTCTTATCCACGGTGTACCCGTGCCTTGATCCGCGACGTCTTTTTTGTCTCGCCATTTGTTCGGAATAGGTACGCTGAAGGAAAGTGTCTCTCGAGAAGATATAAAAAGAATAAGAGAGAGAGAGAGAGAGAGAGGAAAGAACAGAAAAATCAGAAAGGAGGGGAAGGAAGAATATTGAAATGAATAAGACGAGAAAAAGAGTAAGATAGAATGTGAGAGAGAGAGAGAGAGAGAGATAAAAGGAAAACACAAGGAGAGAATAGTGGGAGGGGAAAAAAATAGTGGGTGGGAGACATCACTTCGGCGAAGTTAACTTCGCATTTAACATCTGCTTCGGAGGTTAAAATTTCCCTTGAGATTTGCTCTAAGTTGTACGGGACGAAGGCGGTATATCTTTTGTCCCGATTCTTAAAGAGAAAATTACGAAAGAAAGTGTATGTGTGTGTGTGTGAGAGAGAGAGAGAGAGAGAGAGAGAGAGAGAGAGAGAGAAAGAGAAAGAGAATAAGAAGGAACAAAAATCGTTATCATCGAACGATAGATTTTCCTAACTTTATCTTTTTGTCTTTTATTATTTGTTTTGTTTTATTTAATCGGTATCATCACATTGGTAGGAAGACTTTCTTTAGTCAATTTTCGCACCATCTTTCAACGACGACAACGATGGCGAGTTAGTTACAAACTTTCTTCTAATACACTTTGACTATTTTTCTCTATTCGAAGTTAAGAAAAAAGTTCTACCCTTCGAAAAAACGGTCAAGGTTTTCGTTAGATCCTAATTCTCACGCGGTAGACATTACACTTCAAACCTTTTTCCCTTCATTAATTATTTCTCTAAGAGAGAATATAGGGGATTGTATCTGTCCTTGCAAAAGTTCGAGGATTTTGGCTTTTAGTGCCCGTATCTTAGTTTCTCTTTAGATAAAAGGGCTTTGAGTAATAATATCTCATTTCGAAACCTTATCCCTGCCTTTATACCCTGTTTTTCCTCTCTTTTCTCTCTTTTCATCTTCTCGAAAACTTTTTGCTTAAACATACTTTTTTCCTATCTAATTATTTCACATAAAAATGAAGAAAAATTATTCCTTTCCTTTTTTCTTTTTTTGCGTATAAAATCGAATCAGAATGTCTATTTAAAATTATTCGAGACGTATAGAAAATAAATCAAATTTTGCGATATTATTTTTTTCGTAGAATAATATTCTAACTCGGGAGTCGAAACGAGCGATGAATGGGAAAAAGAAGACACACATAAAGTACTACGTAGGTCGATCTTTTTAAAAAAAGGATGGTTTCCAATAATCGAGAAGAACTTGGGGGTTTGCGTTTATTAGATTATATTCTCGACGGAAGCCGAGGGGTTTATCACGAACGGATCGTGTTAGACCGTACTGATTTTTCTTCTCTTCGTAAAAGGAAAAACGAGAGAGAGAGAGAGAGAGAGAGAGAGAGAGAGAGAGAGAGAGAGAGGGAGAGAGAGGGTAACGCGTAAGGAAGAAAAAGAAAGAGATACCTCCTGGAGAATATTGAAATCATAACAGTGCTGCAACCCATGAATATTATTCAAGTCTTAAGGCAACATAATCCGAAATCGATGGTGCGACGTTGGAATAAATTTGGCCTTGCACACCGTTATACAGTGGGTGTATTCCGATTCATTGTATTCGACGACTGATACTAACTTTCGTGACGAAGTTAATACGCGTACGAGAACGTAAAGATAGAGAGAAGGATAGAGTGATATATATGTATATAGAGAGGAATAGAGAGAGACAATGATAGGTTTGAGAAGTTTCAAATCCATACGATTAAACTTTGCCTTCTGCTGTTCTACTTCTCTTTATCTTCTCACTGAACATATTCTCTTTCGATATACATAAAATCATACGTTATCTTAGTGAAACTTAGTCTAGGATAAGGAGCTCTTCAATGATATTAAAATGGATATATAATAAATCGTATGTATATGCTATGTACGAACCATTTGTTTCTCGATATAACGCTTAGAGGTGTAATTAACCTTGCGATCTCATTCCTCAATAATGAGACTTTTTGTAAAACTAACTTTTATGAGATATAATCAAGAATAATAGAACGTAATCGCTGAGTTCAGTAATGTATAACGCATATATTATTATTACGTGCATACGTGTGAAATATGCATTCTATTAGGTCGCGTGGCGCACGTCGATGTGCACATTCGATTTACCTACCGGTACGATCCTTCTAAGACCTCTCTTCTCTTTACGTAATTCCGTTAAGGTATTACCTTAGCCTCAAGGCTAAGGTGAGTAAAAAGAAAAAGAAAAATAAAAATGTAAGTTGGAGGAAGAAGAAGAAGAAAAAGAAGAAGAAGAAGAAGAAGAAGAAAATGCGATAGTTCCGAGGGCGTTTCGAGAAATCGATGTTTTTTTTCTTTTTTTTTATTCCTCGAGAACGAGTCGCACGCGATGCTCGAAGCCACGAATGCTCGAATGAACTGCGACTGAACAGATAACAACGTCCTCCTACCTCTAAGAAGAATTCTTTCTTTCTTTCTTTCTCTCTCATTCTTTCTGTTAAGTCCTATAAACGCATTTACATTTCATTATCGTTAGGATATACGTTGTAAGATAGCTGTTAAGTTTCTTTAGTCGAGATTCGCGAATTAATGATACGCTTTGCGTCGGCGAGTGTCACCCTTACAATTATGCTATACCTTTCTCCTACTTCTTCTTCTTCTTTTTTTTCTTTGAACGTCTCATGAGAACGGTTATTTCAACGATAAACCGAGAACTCTCTTTCTCTCCTCGCTGTTAATCCGGCCTTTCTACTGAGGAAGTACTAATGCTGGTGCATGCTGGTGCATGCTGCTGCTGCTGCATACGCCCTCGATGGAAATCTCGATCGTTTGTAACCAAGGGTATTGAGCACATGACTTCGCGAATCGTTACGCAAAGGATCGCAGTTGAAATTTCCTTTTTCATGCGTTTAAAACCGGTCGTGATTCTAGCTAAGCGAGTTCCGCGCAAGATATAAAGTTAATATACGATTGTTGTTACTACCGCATTAGATTTTATCGTTATCCTCTTATATTTTGCTCGATAATTAAAAGCGTTTTCGATTCTACTATCCCCCCCCTCTCTGTCGCAATAAGACCCGATATAGATCGATATATTTAATTGCTCTCTAGTAATTTCCCCCCTTTCGTTAATTAATACAATGCCGATAGTTATGATAGTAATTAAGATCACATTTGATATAGAAACTAAATTGTATTTATATTTTATATACTTATATCTATATGTATAGATATATATAGATATATATAGATATATATACAAAGTATAATTGTATTCATTGTATTTGATTTTCTTTTCTTTTTTCCTTTTTCCAGATCCGCCAATTATGCAAATGCCACGAAAACTTGCGAATTATCCGATATGGATCGATTAACGGTAGCCGGTTCGAATGCATTCCAAACTGCCAAGGACTTTGATTATCTCGAAAATCACTGCGTCGAGGAGCCGGTGAAAATGTGCGAATTCAAGAAACTTACCGGCCGTATTCTCAAGACCGTCGATTCGGTTTACCAGGATGTTGGTACGACCGACGAGTGTCGCGAATTGTGCTTGAATTCGCCATTCCGTTGCCATTCCTACGATTACGGTGACACCGGTGATATGGTTTGCCGTCTTAGCCATCATTCCAGAGCAACCCTTTCGGATATTCAGGTAAGAACGTGGTAGATGTTGTATACGGTTAACGTGTTGCTGTGTGTGTGTATTTGTCTGTGTAAAACGAAATTTCTACGTCTGCTCTACTCGTGGAAATTGGAATTTCTAAAAACATAGAAAACGATTCCGAGACAGAGAAACGGTTTTGCGAGTTTCCCCATTTGTTTCGTTCCATCGTGTTAGACGGTAGTATAGAGAATGGACAGTAGAGACTTTCCGTAAAACCCGATTACATCGAGTACGCATAAAACAAATCGAGATGGTCCGCCGTAGAGCGTATTCGCGGAAAATCTAGTTTCCACCGCAGATGCTTTGTCCATCGAGCCTTGCAGCGATAGCAGTAGGTAGCTTTTCTGAAGCGAAAAGAAAGGGAAGAAACTTCGTTTCCCAAGGATGCATTCATGAACGTTGGAAATAGTATAACCAACGATGAAAACGTAAATCTATTCAATTTATTCGTATTTAAAGTAATCTCTAAAGGATGAATTTTTAAATAAATATCCTACCCAACAAAAAAATATATAATTTAACGATACGTCGAATACGTTGTTTGAATAAACGAATAAAATCGTTGTTATTTTTTTATAATTGGATTATTCGCATCGTTTAAGTAGATGCACGTGACGATATACGTGACTATACGATTACAAATTCAAACAATATGAATTAGCAAAATTTCATTTACGCGACTAATCGTTTTCATGGGTATAATAATCATAGAAATTTACGAATAACGTGACGAGCGTTATAGTTATATGCCGGACAAATGTTGCTTGTCATTCTCACGAGCAAACATATATATTTATTTTATTCGAATAAAATCCGTTCGCGAGAGATTGTATCATTTATTTTAATGCGTATTACCGTTAAAGAGAAAAAGGGAATAATTTAAGGAGAATTATATATGTACGTTTATGATTTCAGGAACCTTATTTGGATGTGGCGGAAGCATCGACGTACGAGTTGAGTTCGTGTTATAACGTAACGATCGATTGCCGTGCCGGGGATATGGTAACTAGAATCCAAACCAGCAAACTATTCTATGGAAAGGTCTATGCGAAGGGTTCGCCGAATTCATGCGTGCAAGACGTAAAAGGTGCACTCGAGTTTGAGCTACGCATGGCTTACGATGACCTAGAGTGTAACATCAGACAGCAGGGTCTTGGCCGATATCTGAACGACGTGGTGATTCAGCATCACGACACGATCGTGACAAGTTCTGACCTTGGACTCGCGGTTACCTGCCAATACGATCTGACCAATAAGACTGTTTCGAACGAAGTGGATCTAGGTGTGCACGGTGACATCACCCCAGCAATGTCAGAAGAAGTGATCGTTGATTCTCCGAACGTAGCAATGAAGATCACCGATCGCAGTGGAAACGATGCGATCCCTTCTGCCGAAGTCGGCGACCCATTGGCACTCAAATTCGAGATTTTAGATCCCAACAGTCCGTACGAGATTTTCGTTCGAGAACTAGTAGCCATGGACGGCGTAGACTCAAGCGAAATCGTCTTGATCGATTCCGACGGTTGTCCGACCGACCACGTTATCATGGGACCACTCTACAAATCCGCTACCTCTGGAAAGGTGAGTGCTACTTGTTACATCGTAACATATTACATTTCCTACTCTTGTAATTCTTTGTTTAAACAAACCAATCGTGGATCAGCAAAGTTTGCCTTAATAGATTTCTTTCGTTAACTTCTCAACGCAACACATTTCAACTACCTAATAATACCGGTTACGAGTAAAAGGTTCCAACGATCCTGACCACTACTACTTCTATTACTACTACTACTTCTATTACTACTACTACTACTATTACAAAGACTAGGAGAATCTAGAAGCGTTCGCCTCTTAGACGATAGCACTGAGTAAACAAGCTTTTCTTTCTTCCACATGCTTGCCCATCCGCTCTCGTATCTACTTCTTCTACATTCGCTTTTTTACCAAGACCACCTTTTTCCTTCTCTTGGTAAACGCGATTAGTGTGCTCGCCATTCGTTTTAACGAGTTATCGTTTCGCAAGAATGTTGACTCTTATCGTTCAGCGGATTGTCAGCACTACAACCACGCCTCGTGTCCGATCACGAGGAGTACGTTACAATAGAACTTGTTTGGTTCTTTCATTCTTTAGAAGCTTTTACGAACGAAGTTCTCTTAAGACAAACACAAGCCGTGCATAAATAGATAGATAGATAGATAGATAGACTCGTATACTAAAGGCCACTTTTACGTTCCTTAAAAGAAACCAATGTAGTATCTTGACGCGACTATCCCTGATACTTTGCTTAGGAAGAAAAAGAAAAATGCTAATATTATCGTAATATAAAAGGCTAAGCTAATAAAAAGAAACTAAAATGACAAACCCAAGAGCCAGCCTTTAAGATGCCGTACACGCTTACAACAAGACGACTAGAGACTATTAACGTTGATAATATTGGTACTCTTGTAGTAGGACAGGTTTAAAGAGACAAGATGGTTTATTTCAAATATGGATATTAGAATATTGAACGGAGGAGATTCTACGGGAGTTGACGAGGTTGGTTGGAAAGGAAGTGAGTGAGTGTGTGAGAGAGAGAGAGAGAGATAAAGATAGACAGAGTAGAAGCAGTCAGGCACGAGTCAGCCAGTCTCTCTTTACCTTTATGCTAATCAATCACTTCGATGGATTTTACGACGGGAAGCAATTTCCTTGTACCATAATAGGTCGCGTCGAGCGGTACGCCACTGCCATCGTCATCCAACTCGACGTCTATGCTTCGACGATAACATGCCCTTGACTAGGAAGCCAGCCAGCCAGCCTTTGGTTGATGCTTGTACGAACGATTATTAGCGTCACAAATTTAACGAAAATGTAGAAATTATTCTACGATTTGATTCGCATCGAGAAATTTAGAATGAACTATCGGAGAAACCAAATTTTTTTCCTTCCCCACCAACAACTCCTAACCCCCCCCCCTCCATTCCCCTGGCCGTTCAATCTCGTTGTATTATTTGTCACGAATAAATGCGAAATCAGAAAAGAAATTCGAGAGATCGAAGGTTTAAAATGAGAAAAGAAATAAATCTTGGTATATATCCGTTCGAACGAAAAGATTCGATAAGTTAAAGAGAGAGAAAGAGAGAAAAAGAATGGAATTATTAACGGTTCACATCGAGTTCGATTATACTCATCGGCAAGTAGAGTCTTAATTGCACGGGAATCGTACATCGAGTAACATAATGAAAGAAACGCTAATAAAGGTCTCCCTCTCTCGGGGGCATATTACGAGGAAGTAAATAGTCGTTTCCTCGTGAAATTATTAGCAAACGTCTCGTCGATCGTTCCCCTCCGTCCCTCTCATCGTTCTCATCCCTTGAGGGCTGCGATCTTTATCGATCCGGCGGCGGTGGCGGTAGATGCTTTGGTTGCTTCTCCTCGATTTATGTACCGGGAAAGAAAACGAGCGTTGTGTATCGTTACGATCGTGACAGGTCGGAGATGAAAGTACGAGATGAGCGTGGCGAGTGAATAGTGGGAGTGGGGGTGGGGGTGGGAGCTGGGGGTGTTAGTGGGAAAGGGAAGCGTTGGGACGTAAGGAAGGAAAGAAAGAAGAAAGGCGGATAGGTGGAGTAGGAAAGATAGAAAGAAAGAAAGAAACGTTACTAGAGGCAGGCCGGCTCGTTAAATCGACGTTCCGCGTCATTTGCTAGCTCGCGCCGCGGCAAGATCTGCGCAATATCGCTTTATTATCAAGTAATAACAGTCCTAAGGTAGAAACGAAGAGTGAATTTATATCTGGTAACGCGATGGTAAGAAATAAATCTGGGCGAAGGTATATCATCGATGATGGGCAATGTTGTTCCAACGTTCCAACGAAGACGAGGGAATGAATCTTGACTTGGTAGGGATCTAAAGCAGGACGATTCTCCTAATGATCGATTTTCTTTTACCCGATTGCACTCTCTCTCTCTCTCTCTCTCTCTCTCTCTCTCTCTCTCTCTCTCTCTTTTTTTTCTGTTTACCTGTCTTCCTCTTTCGCGAAATACTTATTGCTTAGAGTTCGTTGATGGAATAACGATAACATGTATTTATGTATAATTTTCATCTTAGTATCTTATAATAAACTACGAAACGAGAATTCTTTTTCGTGCGACGATAGAAAAATAATAAAAGAAAAGAAATGTATATATATATATATATATATATATACGGACAAGAAATAGCTTCTGATATTCGATGGTTTTCGTTCGCGTCGAATCGTAATATAACAGAGAGAGAGAGAGAGAGAGAGAAATCTAACAAGAAACTCGTTTCTTCGCGTATACACCAGCAGTGTACTGAATCGTAATTTAAAAGAAAACGTTAGTAAGCAACAACGCGTTCTTCTTCTTCTTCTAAGTTCTTACCTTTGTGACGACTTTATCGAAAACTAGTGAAACGTTGGAAAAAAAAAAAAGAAAAAAAAGAAAAAGGTTGAAGATTATTTGCTGTGGAGGAGCTTATCTCGTATACGTCGTCTCGAGAGGAATAACGTATATAAAATATATTTCTAACCAACTACCGCGTTTTGATATAGTATATTCTTACGCGACGTTGACGATCGCATTCCCCATGACGTGACAAGGCCGTTTCACGTAGGCTACGTCATTACGAGTTGATAATGGACGCATGTACGGGTAGGTTTGACTGCCTCTAAACGAGAGAGGATCGTTTAACTCGTCAACAACGTGAGTTTCGTCTGACACGTTTTCTCTGCGAACCTTTCTACCCTATTCCTGCTTTTTTTTTTTTTCTTTCTCTTCTTTTCTCCTCGTTCTTCTTCCTCGTTTTTATTTCTTTTTATTTTACCTCTCCCACCTTCTCTTTACCCCTGTTCGTTGTTTGCAACAACGACCATTGAAAAGCCATCAGCGAGAAAGAGAGAATAAAAAAAGAAAAAGTAAGGAAGGCATCTGGTCTTTTTAAACATTCCTATCCTCTCTCTTTCTCTCTCTTTTTCTTTTTTTTCTTCGCCAGTCGGTAAAACGCATAATAACGATTCGCTTAGTTGTTTAAACAATCGGCAAGTTATACACCGACCATATCTCGAGAAAAGTTTTTCCTAGACGAAAAATGGTAGAGACGACCAACCCAGTTCGTTTTATCTACTCCGGGTCTTGTCGTAGACGACGACGAACCTTTCGACGAAATTATTTCTCGGCGCCTCGCAGCTGCCGGGTGCTCCCCTCCCCATCCCCCTATCCACCCCTTTTCACCCTTTCTTCCGAAACGTAATCTTTTATCGAGAAAGAGAGTAGCGAGAGGTTCTCTTCAAGCTCGAGATTGAAACTCGAACAGTCAGAAAGAATAAATCTGTTTTACGCGAAGGAAAGGAGGAGGGGGAGGGTTTCAAAATAAAACGTCCAAAAAAACGCTGCCACTACTACCACCACCACACCGTGGTCGGTCGGTCTTTCTTTCTTATTATCGAGAATAACATTCGATTGTAACAAACGGACAGTTTTCTTGAAATTGAACGAAGAAAATCATTCGGAAAATAGAATTCGCGTCGATTAATCGATACACAATGGTACAGGACGATATGTGATTTTCTTTCTTCTGTTCGAACGAATCGATCTATGATGAATTTATTTTTAAAACGACGATCTCTCATACGTGCGTGTGCGTTTGCGTGTGCGTTGCGTCAGGGTTGCGTCAGGGTTGTGTGTGTGTGTGTTTGTGTTAGTTTTCAAGAAAAGAAAGTAACTATAAATCAAGGATTTTCATTTCGCTACGACGCTAACATATTACCTACGCGATACATTGTACATTTTACGATAACTTACCGATAGATTTGTACGGTTTGATTCGCGAAACACAAAAGTCGCATATGGTTGGGAACGATTTGTCGGTTAACGCGAAAGATCATCGCGTACGGCTGACTTGCAAAACGCAAATAGTTTCTCTATGATTGAGTACCTACCACATTTCGTATTTTCCTCGAGTTATCGTTTTTATCGATAAAAAAAAAACATTTCTTCTACCGATCGACGGAAACGGAGGGAATAGGTTTCCTAACGAATCGTATAAATCATTCTACTTGTTTTTCTTTTTTTTAGAAATTCTCGAGAAGCAAAAAATTGATTGAAAATGAAAACTCTCCAATCAATCCTTTTTCTTATTCCTCTTCCTCCCCCTCTCCCCTACTATTCACTGGGAAACAGAACCAACGTGGAACACGGAAAAATGGTTGCTAATAATGACAGAAAAGATTTCAATGTCAGCTAAACGAGAATCAAAGATACTCACTCCCCCCTCCACCCCCCCCCTCCGACCGTATGAAGAATGATACCGCCGCATCGTGCGTTTATGAACGGACTTCTCGAGTGAAACCTGTCGTCAGGTTTCTTTGTCATCGTCGACGATCCTTCGCGTTCAAACTCTAGCGTCGACTTGTACCAGATGATGCCACGGAATGGCATTTCTTTTGTTAACATCCATCTCGGTGTCCCTTGATCTCTTTTTCTACTTCTTCATCCTCGTTGTTCTCTTTACACCCATCAAATTCACCGACGAGACCCTTCTCTTCCTCGAACCACTCTCTCGTTGTTCTACTTTCCTCTTCTCTTTGTATTTCCCCCCCTCACACTCCTCTTTCTCTTTTCTCCTTAAAGAATAAAACCTTTGGTTGATCTAACTGGACAACATGATGTCCAGTTAATGAAACTTCATACGTTTGTTCCTTCATCTTTTCGCAATGCAAAATAAAAAGAAGAAGATGAAGATGAAGAAGTACGGTTAAATGAAGCTGTACACGCCATACAACGAAGCATATTTTAATGTCTTATTTTCCACCGATAAACTTAGGTACGTGGATTGCCCGGTGTGTAAATACGATGAGCTTGGTAATACGCTGAGAAACCAGTTTTCGATGATTACGAGGATAGAAAGAGTGTATAAGAATGACGATGACGATGACGACGACGACAACGTTAGAGGTCGCGTGGCAGCATTTAGGCTCGTGACTTTTTCTCGAGAAGGGTCTTTTGACTAATCGACTAATAAAAAAAAACCGAAAAGAGGGCGTAGAGTGATTCTAATAGAAATTTTTAACCGTCTAGGCCGGAGAGGTGGGGGTGGGGGAGGGGGAGGGGGAAACAATTTCAATGAAAATTCTTTCTCAGTAAAGAATCGGGAGTAGAAAAATCGAAGTCATTTTTCAATCCGAGTCACCCCCCCACGATACGATTATTCTTTTAAGTAAATCCCCGAGTATTTATTTCATCAACGATTAATAGGATCGATCTTAACGACGGGATGAATTTAGCTTAAATCTATGAGAAATTTTGCGAAGTATTTCTCTCGAGTAAAACGCTTAAACATTTATCGAGATAAAAGAGAAGGATCATTAGATTGAGAGGAAGGAATAGAGTACGTACGATCTCCTCTCGTTGGTAATCGAGAGTCTAAAAACGAGATTTAGTTATAGCTCTTCTCTCTCTCTCTCTCTCTCTCTCTCTCTCTCTCTCTCTCTCTCTGTCTTTCTTTTTCTCATTCGCTCACTCACTCTCTCATGTCATAATCCCGTGTAATTGCTGTTATACGGCCTTAACTAATAAAGAGCAAAAAATCGTACCGGAACAGCCAGTACAAAAAGGAAGAACCAGTTTTAAACGTTAATCCCATCTAGTTTTCTATATCATTCTTTTTCTCTTGCTCATTTCGCGTTAAGTAACCAACCAATAATTCTTCTCCGTTGACTGGACACGCATGCACGCACACATACACACACACATATATTTATTATTAAAAATATATATCGTACGTACTCGATTTTTTCTTTGAAAAAAAAAAAGAAAAAAAAAGAGGGATTATTCTTTACGTTAAAAGCATCTTTTATGTTATATTATCTCTATGTATTTTTCTTTATTCTAAGATTTTCAAGTAAACGCTCGTGAATTTGTGCGAGAACGTAACTTATGGATAAGATTACCGGTTATATTCGCAGACTCTACGAACGAGAAACTCTTCTCGGTTGTGAGAAAATAGTATGAGAATGTGAAAGGGGCCGAGAGAGGGTGGAAGGGAAAGAGAAAGAAGGACCGCTTTCAGGAATTTCAGGATTAATGTGACAAAGCTTATTTCGGTCGGTCGGCCTTACATGCGCGCGAGCGTGTACGAATTACGAGGGAACCCCCCCTCCCATTCCCCAACCCCCCTAACTCTACAACCCCCACAACAAAAACGGTTTCCACGACCGTAAGCACGCTCGGCGATCGTTTTTCTCTTTTTTCTCTCATTTCTTCTCTCTTTCTTTTCTTATTTTTCATTCCAAGTTCGCATTTTCGCGACTACGAGTCACGAAAGATAAACGCAACGCGTTAACGTATCACGAAAAATCACTCTAAAACGAAATACTTTTTCTTATTCATTTTCCTATTCTTATTACTTATAAATTAGCCTTATTAGTACTTTTACTTGATAATATCGGTCATTTCGTTGTAGGTCATAAAATACATTTTCTCCTTTTTCTTCTTATTTTCGTAAAATTACTACGATGCGTACAAATTAACGATCGAACACTCATTACAGAGTTTTTCGTGATTCGCGAGAAGGTCGTTTCGTTCGTTCAAAGAAACTCTACTAACGTTCTATACGGTGATTTTCGTTTAACGATTTGTTTTAAAGAAGGGAAGAAGAAGTCTTATGCCGTTCTCTGGTACGGGTTGTTAAACTTTATTATTACTTATTTCCTTGATCTTGGCAGTTGAAGTTTTCGAAAGGATCGTGAAATCTCTCTTTGAAAAATGATTAATTTTCAACGATCCCCTTTAACAAACTACTACTACTACTACCAATCATAAATATTTTTATCGTTATGTTAATAACCCGTCCTTTAATGTTCTCTTTCAGATTCTCTTGTCGCACTTCGACGCATTCAAGTTTCCAAGCTCGGAGGTCGTACAATTTCGTGCATTGGTGACACCGTGCATGCCAAGTTGCGAGCCAGTGCAGTGCGATCAGGAAGAGGCTACGGGAGAGTTAAGATCGGTGATCTCGTTTGGCAGACGCCGTCGTCGTCGTTCGACAACGTCATCGCAAAGCCGAGAAGATCTATTGTTGGTGCAATCAATTCAAATTACGGATAAGTTTGGATTCGAGAGAGAAGGGAAATCGTCGAATGGCACCTCGGCAACGCGAGACACCGTTTTCATCGAAAGCACCGAAGACATTAACGGTTCGTCTATGGGAGTTTGCATAAATCTTGGGGAGGCAATTGTAGCCGGGACGGTCTTTCTCGTAGCACAAATTGCCCTAATCGCGGTATGGACCTTCACTTGGCAACGGCGTCGACAAATGTTAAAAAATCAGGAAGCACTTTCGGTATCGGTGTCCGTGCCAGGTATGCACTCACCTGGTTCTGCTCGTACCGACAGTCTCTGTAAGTTATACGATGCCGGTTACACTGGACGTCGTTTCTGAACTCGAGAAATTAATTTCTTCAATTATTAAATCCCTCTTCGATCATCATCCACTTTTTCGCGTCTCTCGTTCTCCCGTAGTAAACTATATATTATATTTTCACGTAGGGTTACTACCGGCGGCGAGTAGTAATGATGATGCACGAAGCGCGAGTCCCGATTTTTGTCACGACGAACGGACGATTTTCAAATGCTTTTCTTTCTTTTGCTTTAACCCCTTTCTCCGTTTTCATCATCTTTATTAATTTTTTTCTAACTTACTTACTTTTTATTATTTTCTTATTCTACAGAATCTTTTCTATCTCGCTTAATAGCACTCGTCCGTTACCTTGTACTCGGGAATCGCGTGAAATTATTCGTCGCAGTCTGATTTAATATAAATATTAAGCTCGACGGCTTGGATACAGATAACAGAAAAATGATATTAATAAACAGATTGTCTTAATATCTATTCGTGAAACATGATTCAATGTTACATTCTCTGTCCAAGCCATCGATCAATCTAAGTTGTGCTATTTGCAATCGTGCAACTTTACGCTCGTGCATCTTCTCGAACTCCCACTTTGCGTAACGCCTTAGATTATCGTAATTTTCTACGAACGAACGAACGAACGATCGATCGATCGATCGAGCTCTCGAAATAAATAAAGAAAGAAATAAAGAAAGAAGTAAGAGTGAATAATGGCTAAGGTGATAGTTCGAAAAGAAACTTCGATCGGTCGTTTCGTGGTTTAAGGAAGAAGAAGAAGCACGAAGACGTAAAAACAAAATATAAAAGAAAAAGAAGAAGAAGAAGAATAATAAGAAAAAGAAGAAGTAAAAAGGATGGGGTATCTGTTTTTCTTCTTCTTCTTCTTCTTCTTCTTCTTCTTCCGACAAACCGGCTTCTCCTCGTTAACCCTTCGTTCCCAAGGTGATACGCACGGGCGTGGCGTAAAGGGCTCATAAGGTGATGGAGGTCGACGTGTATTTGCTACGTTGGATAGGGCACCGCAACGTGGACTCTAATTAGCATTGGGAATCGAGCGTGATTATGCAGATGCTCCGAGTAGGATATCAACGGGTGTAACGATGGGAGGTTGGTTGTGGGTTAAGGAAAGCGCGTGAGAGACCGGCTGGTTGAGATGCTTGAAACGGAAGGAGAGTAAGCGAGAACGAACGAACGAAGGGAGGGGGGAGGGGAAACGAAGGGGGAGAACGTGGCTGAGAAGGGATGATATGCGCGCAAAGGGGTTGGCGGAAGGTTAATTGCCTCTTGTGGTGTCTCGAGGCTAAGCTAAGCTTGCAGGGTAGAGCTTGATAGGGTTAGATGTACCCACAGCCGGTGAACGGAAGGGAGATGGTCCTACAGGAGATGCTGAAGGAAGAGAAGGAGGATGAGAGACGGAGGACGAGGATGAGGAGGAGGAGGAGGAGGACGATGATGGTAGCTCTGGATCACATCGGAGATAGCCATCTCCTCCACAGCCACGTAACCCCGATCTCTCCCCTTTTGACTGAACCTTAGCCACGTCCTGCATCTCCGTTCCGTGTGCCTGGCTTAATTTACATTGCAACGCGTGACCTTATCAATCTGAACCGACCAATTCTCTATCTCTCTCTCTGTCTCTATCTCTGTCTCTCTATATCTGTTTGTCCGTTTCTGTTTCTAATAAGAATAAGAGAAACAATTATCGGCAAAATAGAATGATACCAATAAGAGAATATTAAAAACATGTTTAATTCTTATAAATATTGATACATTCTCGCGCGCACCAATATTAATTTCGAATTAAACGCGAGGACGAAGCAATTCCTAGTTACGAACGAACTACCCCGGCATAACGTGGAAGCTAATATGAATGCCAGAGATAGAGTGGAGAAAACAAAGTAGCTAAGCAATCGAAATTCAGCATAGGCGATGGTAGTTACGCTGAGTAAATTTAGATCGATTAACCTTATCGAGAAGACTTGGTCGATTCTCTCGACGTTGCTCTCTAAGTGGTAGGGAAATCGAATTAATCGAGAAAGTTGAAGATTAGAATACGCTAGTCAAGGCAAACAGACAGGGTGAATGATAATAGAAAAGGATGAAGAGACAGAGAGAGAGAGAGAGAGAGAGAGAGAGAAAGAAAGAGAGAGAGAGAGAGAGAGAGAAAGGGAGAGAAGTTGGAGGAAGGGCAGAGAGATGAAAAGCGGATTGCCATAGAGGAATTTACCTTACAGTTAGCCGAACTTTGAATTGTTCTGCTGTTTGACGTTTGTCTACGGTGGAAACGAGGGAAGCGTGCTCGTGGTTTATTCCCGTACGTATGTATCTAACCAGTAGAATATGTGGATAATGACTACCTGTCCGGTACGCTCAACGTCGGGGTAACGTAGTCTCTCCGTGTCCGTAACCCTTTTTCTTCTCTCTTTCTTTCTTTCTTTCTTTCTTTCTTTTTATCTTTACGCGTATTCCCAATGTCACGGCTCGTTTATAAATTTCTACTTTCGTGCCGTCGGGGTAATGATTTCAATCGCCAAGCCGAGAGACTGGATTATATATAATTTACGAGGAAGACAGGAAGAAACGCGGGGGTGGAGTGTACGTCGGAGAAAAAGGCAAGAAGAAAAAGAGAAAGAAAAGAAAGAGAGAAAGAGGAAGGGGAAAAGGAATAAAAAAGACAACGAGAAAGTTTAATTGGCTGTTTTAAAAATATTACGTAAAAATCTCTCTCCCTCTCTTTCTCTTTCTCTCTCTCTTTTTCTATCCCTTCGCGAAGAAGAAAATTTTATTCTTTTTTTTTCTTTTTCTTTTTTTTTTTTAAGCTCCCTTCTTTTTCGTCGATGCAAAGCCACGATTAGTTAGTTCGGTATTTTTTTCTTTCTGTTTTAATTTTCTTTTTTTTTTTCGTTCACTCTCTCTCTCTCTCTATCTCGATAACGATCGCGAACTTCCTCTGTGAAATTTAACTCGCTTAATTTTCCAAGCGAACACAAGTGCTCGTTTTTTTCTTACCACGTATCTTTCCGCCGACCCTTCTAACGCTTATTCATCTATTCGCTTTTCGTCTTTTTTTTTTCTTTTTTTTTTTCTATATGTATATCTTTTAACAAGGAATAACAAACAAATAATAATAAAAAAAAAGATATATATATATATATATATATATATAAATATACATACACATATACCATACTATAATATGATACACAAATAAATACCGACTGCTGGTGCCTAATGAGTTTTTATATAACTTTTTTTTTTTATTATTATCATTATTATTATCTTTTTAATTGCGAGCGTCACAACTCGACAAAAGAACGCTTTTAATTACGAATAAACTCTTAAGGATTTTTTCGCTAACGCAAGAGATAGTATATTATTCAATCCGCTTTGTGGTGAGAGGGTAGAGTCAATTTTTCTCTTCTTTTATGTGTTTCCTTTTTCTATTATTTTTTTTTTCAATTTTCTTCATTTCTATATCTGTTATAGTCGGTAATAATAAACGAACGTAATATCTCAGTTATGGTATCGTCGAACGTGTGCTTAGCCAACGCGTTATTTGTTATTAAAACAAGTAATCGCAAAGTGCACTTTCGCCGGTGTACGATCAGACGCGGGAACATTATTTTATTCCTACGTTTTTAATCCTTGCTTGTTCCTTTTTTTACTGATATTAAAAAAAAAAAAAATAGGAAAAAAGGACGACAAACAAAAATGTTTCGATTCGCGAGAAAAAAAAATGCAAGGAATAATAATAATAATAATAATTTCTCGCGTCTACGTCGTACGTAAGCAATCATGTAGCAATATACGAGAAGTGATAAACAAGAAAATAATAACGAACAAAACACGAAAAAAGAAAAAAAAAAATAAAGCTGAACTAAGAAAGGTATCACAGGTACGAGCACTTTCCATCGACTTGATCGAACGAACAGCCGCATCGAGGAAAAAAAAGCAAAAAAACAAAAAAAAAACAAAATAAAGGTGCAAGAGAAAAAAAGCTGAGAAGTTTGATCCAACTCAATGGAAACTGCCGATATTATTACGTCGTCCGTAAGATTTTTTTGTCTAACTAACTAAATAACTAACTAACTAACTAACTAATTTTACTTTTTCATATTTCCCTCTTATATGTTTTTTTTTTTTTTTAAACGTCGTATACGATGGGAGCTAAACACGCGCAAGCAATGATGTATCGATTAAACTATTCACTATCTTTAATATTATTACTCTACGCTAAGTTTTTTTTTTTTCTTTTTTAATTATATTCTAAAGAGAAAGGAAAGCGTCGAGGATAATAATTATGATTATGATAATAATAATAATAATTATATTATAATAATAAAAATAATAATAATAATATAATATTAATAATAACGATAATATAATATTACTATTGAGATAATGGTAATAATTATTATAATAATAATAATAATAATATTGGGCTCGAGGACGATCGCTAGAAAAATATTTGACGATGATTTTGCGCTTATTCGGAAGTTATCTTCTTCCCTACTTTTTTTTCCTCCCACTCTCTTGTTAACGTACATACATATATAATATACAGTTATATATATATATATATATATACGTAGAGAGATGATACATCTCTTTCATTTTGTAAACGAGACACGCGTATAAAGGAAAAGGGGTAGTTGCCGCGCGAAAAAGTCGACGTAGTTGGCGTCGTCGCTTCCGCTTATGCGAACACGTTTTTCTTCCCCTCTCCTCCGCCTCCCTCTACTTTCTTTCCCACCCCCACCCCCTAAGCAACCACCACCAATGTGCACAAACCACGACGATTTCTCGACTTAACAAACGTTACATTTGTTTTCAAACATTTGCTACTTTCTAAACACCCACCACCCTCCGCCTTGTTCCCCCAACCCCTACCCAGGTATTTTTTCTCTCTTACTTTCTCCCCCTTTCTTTTTTTTAACTCTCATACCTTTGCTTCTCATTTCGTAAGTATTCGCGAACGCATAGAAAGAGTGCTTGTCCTCGAGCCTGAGGTGCGCGACTATGATTCGTCGTAAAGGAAAGAAAAGAAACAAAAAAAAAAAAACAAAAAAAAAAAAAAAAAAAATTATAATCAATTAAAAATATCTGCTTGAATAATTTGTTTCGCCGAATTTCGTTGACAAAACAACGCATTTATTCTCTCACTCTCACTCTTCTCGCTTTCTCTATCTTTTTAATCTAAATAAATATATCTATATATATATATTTCCTNGCTTCTCATTTCGTAAGTATTCGCGAACGCATAGAAAGAGTGCTTGTCCTCGAGCCTGAGGTGCGCGACTATGATTCGTCGTAAAGGAAAGAAAAAAAAAAAAAAAAAAAAAAAAAAAAAAAAAGAAATAAGTGTGGAAAAGCTCGAAAAGCAGCTCGAGTCTGTTCTGTACCTTGACAAAACAACGCATTTATTCTCTCACTCTCACTCTTCTCGCTTTCTCTATCTTTTTAATCTAAATAAATATATCTATATATATATATTTCCTTTTTTTCTTTTCAACTTGGTCGTACAACAAACCGATCGGAATGATCGTTTCAACGATCATCGTCTATCCGTTTGTCTGTCCGTCCGTCAATAGTCCTTCCTTTTTTTTTTCTTCATAATCATCTACTCGGACAATTCTTTTCTTCGAGATTCACGCAACGATGATTCGACGAAAAAAGAAAAATTCGGAAGACTTTGACACCATTTAATCATTTTACGCAACGAATTCCGAAAGGTTTATAATCGCTTATAATATCATCGTCACGTACAGAGCTTACCCGACAATCGAGTTTTCGTACATTATTATCGGCGCACCTGGCGTAATCGCTTATTTATT